ATCTTACAGCTTCTGCATCACTCTGGCTGCTCTGGGAACACTCTGGACAAAACCACTCTTCCACAGGTACTTCATTAAGTGGAGGAGTCAAACATTCCAAATGGTAACCACAATCACAACCATCGCAAAGAAGCATGCGGTCTTCTCTGTCACTTTGATGGCAAACTTCACAAAATGTAAGATCATCCAGATTTTCTTCTTCCCGAGGTGTAACTACTACTGGAACACATCTTATAATCTATTTGGAAAAAAAAAAAATAATTTTAATTCTACAAATGGTTGTTACTATTTGATTAGTAATTTTATAAAACACACCTGTCCACCAAACTTATCTTTGACATGAATTATTGTAAAAGTTTGTCGATCTATTGGACATGTATTTGTATTTTTACTCCATTCAAGTAAACATTCTAAACAGAAACAATGTTCGCAGGAGGAAGGAGTGCCTAACTGCTGCCTTCTAAAAGGAAGTAGACAAATTGGACACTTTTCTACTTGTTCATCATTATTGTCTGTATCTGTATCTGATACAATTTTTGGAAGTTTTTTAATTTTTGGTTTGCCAAGACACTTTCGTCTGACAGGAGATCTTTTTTCTAACTCTGATGAACTGCTCCAATCTGACTGCATTTCTGAACTTTCACTATTCCCTCCTAAAAAATAAATTCAGTGGATATTATTAATAATTGTTTATAAAATTATTTACACTGCAAAATTATTAAAAACTTATAAAGACTTATAATTATCATAAAACTAATTGAATGAAAATCTAAAGTTACATTTTTCTAAAATTATTTTAAAAATATACTACTTTAATTAATAAATATTTCGAAAACAAACCAAATTGTTTGTATTTGCTAGTGTCTGAACTGCTGCTTTCATAGTTTGACTCATCCTCTATAATAACCCTCTGAAAAATAAGATATTTTTAATGATGCACACATATATATTTGCAAGATATATTTACTTAACAAAGGTTCAGAAAAATAAGGAACTTTTAAACAAGGAAGTACTCATTTTATATTTGATATTATATTTTACTGAAAACTTACATGATTTTGTCTCCGAACAATAGGTCTTTGAACATCACTATCCTCATCACTAGTTTCACCTTCACCAATAAACTTCTGCAAATGTAAAGTTAAAAATATAACTCCTTCAGATTGAAATATTAAATTAAAAATTGATAATTTATATCTTAATTAAGCATAAGTTTTACATACAAATGTCCTTTTCCTTCTATGAGATTGCACTACAGATTCATTACTATCATCACTGTCAAGTCTGACAAGTTTCTTCCGCTTGACAGATTGAGGAGTTTGACTGCTGTCACTAGACATTTTAACTAATTTGTAAAATCATACCCGCCTTGTCACATGTCCTCTGCACAATTAAAACCATAAAAGAATATTAATAACCAATACTAATTGATATGTTAAATAACTTATTTCTACAATTTATGTTGGCATTTAACTTGTATTAACAATTAATATTTTATTTTATTGAATATAATGTATCATGTATATAAATTAGATTTCTATATAAAATATCAAACATACCAATCTATT